TGCAGTTATGCAATTTACTTTGAGTGACAACTACAATGACGTCTGCAGAGAACAAATCTGTTAATAGATTTTTCACATTACATATATTTTAAACCAAGAACTAACTCAGACTTGATGCTGCCTTGTGTAGTGGATTAAATGCTCAATGAAAATAAGTTCATGTCAGTTTCATTTATATAGCGCCAAAGTACAACAGTTATATTAGTTTTACAATAGTTTGTATTTCAATGTTCCAGATTTCTGGAACATTGAAATACAAACTGGATGGATTTCCAAGCATGACATTCCTGTGATGTGATGTTAAAGAGCTAAAATAAAGAGATCTAATGCTTTATTCAGGCTCGATTACAATACTGAAATACTAACTGGCACAGCACAGGGAGCACAAGGTGCATCTCTACTGATGTGGCTCCACTTCTGGATCTGGTTGTTAGTTTGAGAAGTTTATGGCTCCCAAACATTGTTTTTGCACTCGGGGCCTTCGAGTGTTGCGTGTTTAGTCTCGGCACACATGCAGCAGACCTCAGGTTATCAGAACTGATGTGACAGGAATGAGCAGAATGTCTCAGAGCTACCCTTTCGCCACGTGTATGTGCACTCATGTGTGGCTGTTATCAGGACGTCTACTTTAGCTGATATATAAATGTCTCGTTTTACTTTACACAACACCTGCTCTCTTGCAGTTTGCTGATCCTCCTACTTACAGTTGACGTTGATTTCCTGATTACACGCATGTTCGCAATTGCCGCGAGCTAGCCACATCACACTTCTTGTTCTCGGATTCTGCAGGGCATGGAAAACAAGCAGGGAGCTGGCCTTACATTTATAAGGCGGGCTCAGATGTGCTTTCACAGCCACTGTGATTTATGGGATACTTAGTCTGGTGCGTTCTGAAAAATAGCCTCTGTGGAGGCGATACCAAAGACGGAGGATGTGTTCCCTCTCACCACAAAACTGATGTTTGTCTTGTTTGGTATAATTTTTCTCTTCAGAGAAAAATTACATTCAAATCTTAAATCTTAAATGAACAATGATAATCTTGTTATTTTAAAAAGAAAGCAAATATAGTGTACTCACCAAGCCTAGCACAGGCCTACAATGCAAGTTCCAACTTCATATATTTGTGGATTCTTCAAGGCAGCTTTGCACGACTTCTTATTTGTCTCTTATACCAAGTCCTTTTGAAGCCCTTCAATTCATCCACTGTATGAAATAGGCTGTTTTAGTGTAGTTTCCCTTCCTTACCTTTTAAACCAACTTTCTTTTGACTGGCTGCCTCTTACAAACAGAAGGTTTGAATGGCTTCCATGCTGACAGCCACAGCTCTATGGCTAAAATGACTGCATAAGGGCTGTCTGATCTCATTAACGTCAAAGATTTTGAGTATAGAAAAAAGTGAAGCCTGAGCTTTTGGCTCACATTACTTGCACATATGGTGAATTCATATGGTTAAAATGATAAAAAGTCATAACCGATCCTCTTTGATCAAATAAAGATTTTGTGTAATGACCGCTTATTGCAATCTAAAAGGAAGGGCTGAACCAATATCTGGGGAGTCCCCTTTCCAAGTTCCCACCTAGGCTTCCAAATCAGATAGACAAGAGGTCAGACAGAGAGACGGACAGCTGCCGTTTCCTGTCTCTGGGAACCACGCTGATACTCCAGTCCCACTTCTATTCAGGGGAACGTGGGGTTTCCCTCAGCTGCAGCAGTGGGAGCAGTGGGAGCAGGTGGGACAGCGCTGCTCTGTATGTGCAGATGTGGGCAAGTCTGTTTTTAGTTGATGTTCAGTAAAGGATCATTCATGTACGATCAAACTTCTGCCTGTGCCTGAGCATTCACCAAAGCTTTCACTTTACACTCCAAATTGAAATGACGGCTTACTGCCGTCACTAAAGAAAATGAAAAAGAAACAAATGCACACCTTCGTTTCATCTGCATCACTCAGTGTTTATTCCTGTCACTGAAATCCAAACATTTGATTTCCCACAATTTTGTTTGCCAGTCTTGATATACAGGTGCATTGTGGGTAAATGCTACTGGTTCCCAAGCCGTCAGACAGAGCAGCACTGAGTGATTAATGTGACCCAAAAGGCCAAACAGATGTGACTCGGTTCCAGGACATGCAGGCATTAACAGTGTGTCGGGGCAGGGCTGAATAAGAACATAACCTACACCGTCATCTAAACACAGTGCAGCACGAGTGCAGAGGCAGTGGATGTAACTCAATTTCTTCATTTTTCTTTTTTAATCCCAGAACTACACAAACATCCTCCTGTCAGTCTGGATATTTATTTATAAAACATTACAGTTACCACTTTTCATGGGAGAAAAATCACTGAAAGCATGTTTGACGACTACAGAACAACACGATAAAACACCACACACACACACACAAATCTTCTCAGTTACTCAGCCTGATTACACTTCATCAATATTGCGTACGTGTGGGCGAACACTTTGCATCACGCTGACCCACTAAATAGAAGCAGGAAGCGTGGCTTGTGACCAAAATAAATGACTTACACAGCAGCATTTTCTGTAAGTCTGCTGACAAATCAATGACTAAGTTTACCTTGGTAGAGACTAGAAACTTTTCAGTGGATTGTGCGACTCACTTTAAGTGCAAAAACAGTACAGGAAAATAAAAAACAAAACAAAAAAAAACAACCAAAAAAATAATAAAACAGGAGGTGTGGATCAGAGTGAGAGAAGTACATACAGATTTAGCATCTCGCTAAATGAGGCTTTAACAGAAGACGCAGCTTCGTGGAGCTCAGACAATATTCCAAATTTAATAGAGCGAGAATTTTTCAAATGCTGAAAAATCCAAACATCTGCTCTTTTCTTTTGATACTCTTTCCAAAACTCTGCTCGCCTGATCAAACAGTCAAAATAAAAACACATACAATAACTGTAAGGTTGATGACCTGACATTAAAAACACGTTGAGCTGTTTGTGTCGTTAAGAGTGAACTTCAAGTGTTGTGATGTTATGTTACAGATTACTGAAATGTTGGAATTAATATATTCTACTTCTCTGTAGAGAAGGCTCTCTTCATCAGTGGAGGAGGGGTCTTCCCTGCTTCATACAAAGACTCGGGAGGAGGGGAGCTCAAGCAGCACCAGTCTGGGATTCGCCCCATCTGGTTGTAGTAGTCCCGTGACACAGACCGGCTGCCTAGGATGTCCTGAAGGGCTCCAAAGATGGCACCTGGTGAGGAGTTTACAAATGTTACAAGAGGAGCCACAAACTTTTTTTTCTTCTTACTTAAAAGTAGAAAAATGCTGGCAGTGTGTTTTATCAGAAGTGATGATTGTGATGGATTTTTTAATCCACAAGCCTTCACTTCAGCATGAATATTCAATTTAATTTCATATCTGACCTCCAAGCCACGCAGTGCAGTTGGGCTTTGCAGGGGGAGAATGAATACGGAAGCTCTTGCTGGCCAGCACGTTACTGTATTTGGGTTTCTCCACCAGGAGGCGAATCTCTGCCAGCAGGCGGTGCAGGAAGCCGGGCAGCATGGCGGTGCCTCCGATCACCACCAGGTTCTCAGAGAGCACTTTACGGGTGTCGATGGGGCACTAAAACAAACACAAACAGATATTTTGAAAAAAAGAAAAAAAAACAACGGTGGAAAACATCTGTTCTTCACTATCCGACTGCTGCTACGGGGAGAAAGAGGCAGGAGGTGGGAGTCATCCCAGCATTACAGAAGGATTCTGGTAAAATGGGCTAAAACAACATGATACATAACAGGGACTGTGACGTTATTGTGAGTGGTCTCAGGGGAGCTGCAATACATCAGAACATTATGAGCAGTTCACTATTGTGTAACATCCGACTTAAACGTTTACATCATTACAGTAAAAGTGTGACGTTGTGTGAAGTCGGCTGTTTGGGTTTATGAGTTTAAATAGGCTGTTCTGGACTGACTGGATCCCCGTAGTGAAGAGCAACAATGCTTTTAGTTGCATTGAATGGTTGCAGCACAGCAGCCAAACAAAGTCA